TCTCTACAGTACATCAACCACCTAGTGAGGGGAAATGAATAGTCCAAATACTACTCACTATAAAATCACACACTGGTATTCTACTTTTCAAATAGACCTCTTCTGAGTTTGGGTAGTACATCTTAGCTCCCGAAAAAATCATCACTCCTCAGTGAGTGGCAAACTGAATTTTGGAGTCTGCAAAGCTGAGACCCAGGTTGGGACCTCAGTGACTTCACCTAGTGCTAGCCCCATGGATCTTTGTTACAGAAGAGAGATGCCAGGGCCTTCTCAGCAGCCATGCACCCAGGAGCCAGCCCTCAACCTGCCTCTCACCCAGCCACAGGGGGATCCAGGCAGAAGACAGGAGAGTTAGGTGTGCATTTTGTTTTGGGGATTTTTCAGGACAGAAGCCCCACAGAAGGGTTGTCAGTGATGCCCAAGAGTTTCTGTCTCCCTGCAACCCAGAGTTCAATGAACCGGTTGCAGCCAAGCAGCCTAGCCCTAAAGGCCGCCTGCATGGGACTTGTGTCTAGGACACTACATTGTATGAAGTTGTTATGCCCCTAAATCTCTTGTAATATACAATACTCCCTTTTTTTAAATGACATTTTTAGAGAGATTGAGCCAATGATCTCATAAAATAGCTCACCTTCTATATTTGCTTGATTCTTTCTGGTCTCATCTTGTCCCTCTACAACCTGCATTTTGGGTAAACTATAAATTAAAGGCTTTAATTACACTCAAGTTAGATGTTTTTAATCAAAAGAAACAAATACAAACATCTTGGATGATGTCAAATACTTCATTTTGCCTCACATCACAAGATAGTGTTGGCCAGTCATAGTGATGACTTAATCCATTGGCACTGGATTAAGAGGGCGATCCTCTGATTTCTCCAGTGTACAGTCACCTTTCTCCCTTGTCACCTGTAAGAAGGAATCTGTATGATGCTACTTTGGCCCCATATGAATGTCCTGTTCACCATCAACCATTTGTCTAAGGGTTTTACCAGTAATCGATAATCTTTGCCTGAATCAGTAATTTCCCTTTGGAGTCTCCTTTCCTATGTCAGTGGGTTTAATGCTGCACTATTTACTAGTTATGACATAAAGGAAGTTGTTAGCTTCGTGATCCTTAATTCCTTCACCTGTAAAATGGGCATAAAAATAGAAACAGACCACCATGTATTCATGCCTTGATCAGTACCTAATGGTATGTCTGAATGCACTAAGCATTATCTATTTTTTATTACTGTGCTTTCCCTTATTTTGTTGGAAAATATTTTGATAGTTTGCAAAGCATTATCCACTTCCTGCCAGCCTCAAGTCCCTGAGGCAAATGACAACATATCTGATAAAATTACTGCAAAGGGGTTGAGGCACGTGGACTTTTGGAGAAAATTGATATGCCATTTTTTTTTGTATCATTAATATGCAGTTACATGAGTAACACTGTGATTACTAGACGCCCCCCATTATCAAGTCCTCACCATATACCCCATTGCAGTCACTGTCCATCAGCGTAGTAAGATGCTATAGAATCACTACTTGTCTTCTCTGTGCTATACTGCTTTCCCCGTGCCCCCATGCTACATTACGTGTACTAATTGTAATGCCCCTTATTCCCCTTCTCCCTCCATTCACACACACACATTCCAATCCCTTTTCCTTTGGCAACTGTTAGTCTCTTCTTGGGTTATGTGAGTCTGCTGCTGTTTTGTTCCTTCAGGTTTTGCTTTGTTCTTATGCTCCACAGATGAGTGAAACCATCTGGTACTTGTCTTTCTCCACCTGGCTTATTTCACTGAGCATAATACCCTCTAGCTCCATCCATGTTGTTGCAAATGCTAGGATTTGTTTTCTACTTATGGCTGAATAATACTCCATTGTGTATATGTACCACATCTTCTTTATCCATTCATCTACTGATGGACACTTAGGTTACTTCCATATCTTGGCTATTGTAAAAAGTGATGCGATAAACATAGGGGTGCATATGTCTTTTTGAATCTGAGATCATTTTTTCTTTGGGTAAATTCCTAGGAATGGAATTCCTGGGTCAAATGGTATTTCTATTTTTTATTTTTTGAGGAACCTCCATATTGCTTTCTACAATGGTTGAACTAATTTACATTCCCACCAGCAGTATAGGAGGGTTCCCCTTTCTTTGCATCCTTGCCAGCATTTTGTTGTTCCTTGTCTTTTGGATGTTAGCCATCCTAACTGGTGTGAGGTGATATCTCATTGTGGTTTTAATTTGCATTTTCCTGATAATTAGTGATGTGGAGCATCTTCTCATGTGCCTGTTGGCCATCTGAATTTCTTCTTTGGAGAATTGTCTGTTCAGATCCTCTGCCCATTTTTTAATCAGGTTATTTGCTTTTTGGTTGTTGAAGCATATGAGTTCTTTATATATTTTGGATGTTAAAGGGGTATTATGCTCAGTGAAATAAGCCAGGCATAGAAAGACAAGTACCAAATGAATTCACTGATCTATGGAGTGTAACAACAAAGCAAAACTGAAGGAACAAAACAGCAACAGACTCATAGACTCCAAGAAGGGACTAGGTTACCAAAGAGGAGGGGTGTGGGAGGATGGGTGAGGAGGGAGGGAGAAGGGGATTCAGGGGTNAGGGAGGGAGGGAGGGAGGGAGGGAGGGAGGGAGGGAGAGGAAAAAAGAGGGAGAAAGAGAGGGAGGGGGGGAGGGCTGGCCCCTTCTCCGTGGAGGAAGTGTCATATTGTTAAAGTCACCTCTGTGAAATGCTGTGTATGCTCTTCTACTGTTGGAGTTTCATTGCATGTATTATTAAGTTGAAGTTTCTGGAAAATCTCTTAGAAAAAAAATCTGCTTAACTTCAATAAAGTATTTTTTAATCTGTTTGCCTGTGGATACTACGCACCCCACCTCTGCCTTTTTAAAGCCAAGTGCCACATAGATATTAATGTTGAGCTGCGTTAGTTTCTTCCAGAGGCTTGAATGAGGAGGGAGTCAGACCGATGAGCTGGCCCCCGCTGGATAGTTGGGGGCTATCTGCCACTGGCCTTTCAATTTTGAAAAGCCATTCAAGTTAGAGGAGTTCTTAAGAGGTTTCATTCTTTGTTGGGGCAGGAAAGGCAAGAATTAGAGACCCCATAGTAATTTGACAGCCAAATTCTCTTCCTTAGATTTTCTCCAAAGCTCACCAGGACTCCTAGAGGACCACAGAGACCACCCATCCTATAGGTGCACCACAGGCCCTGGGACTTAGTGAGGCTGACAAGCGTAAGTCCCGGGGCCAAAGCACAGGGACCGAAGGGCATAGGGACAGTCATGCTCCAGAGAAACAGCAGAGCATTTGGAGCCAGACCAACAAGGGTCAATGTCTCAGTTTTACTAGGTAGTCACTATGATACCCGGGGAAATTCCTTACCCTCTTTGAGCGACACTTCCTTCATCTATATAATAGGGACAATTAAAGCACTTAGCCCAAATGGCTGTGAAACTCTCAGTAGATATATAAAGCATTTTTTAAAAATATGAAGTGCTGTCTTAATACACTGATGGACAGTGACTGTGAAGGGGTATGTGGGGGAGACTTGGTGAAGGGGGGAGCCTAGTAAACATAATGCTTTTCATGTAATTGTAGATTGATGATACCAAAGTAAAACAAAATAAAATAAAATAAAAATTTTTTAAAAATGAAGTGCTGTATAGAATGTTAATTTAGTTTTAATGTTTAGGGTATTCTTACTGATTTTCATGGCTGGTATTTTGGGAGTCCACTAGTCATTCTTTTATTCATTCAACTTGTCAAATAGTATATTGAGCACTAAAAATATGCCAGTGTGTGCTGGGTGCTGTAATGGAGTATAGAATAAAGCAAATCCTGTCCCTGCCTTCTTGAAACTTACATTCCATAGTGGGAGACATATGATAAACAAATATACACACAAATATCATTATCCCCTCTCCCTAGATACTGATGTGATTTTTTTAATAGACATATTGCTTATAATCTACTGTATATAGATACTTTTGAAGGCAATACCCATGAACTGTTCACAGAAAGTTCAGAAAATTTGTCAGTTAAATAGAGAATAAGATTTTTAATGTAGAACTAGAAGATACCTTAGGAATAAATTATTTCAAACCTCTCATTTTATAGATGAGGGAAGCTAGATCCCAGAATACTGTAGAAATTTGCCCAGTCATGTTTGTGTGTGAGAATGTGCACACACATGTGAGAGAGTGAGCGAGAGAGAAATCAGGGATTTTGAGGCAGGGGTTAGAACCCCAATTTTTCTTCTGCTAGTCAGAGCTTTCCAATCTGCTGGGTTCATCTGAAAGGCATTATAAGAGCCACCTCCTACTTTGAACAGTGATTTATAATTATCACACTTTCATATGCTGTATTCCAATTACTAAAAATTGGGGACACAGCACAATTGATTTTTCCATACTTTGCTCCATGAAACATCAATGTCTTAATCCGTGTTAACAGTTTATCACTTTTTATGTTTCTCGGTCAAATTAGTTTAGGAAACTGCATCCACAGCCTGCTTTAGAAATCCGTAAATGCATATTGTGATTGTAAAAGATCATTCCTGCAGTAAGGGAACCTCTGTATACAACTCAGCATCACCCAAACTTATTTGATTACAGAATCTGTTTTGAATTATTTAAGGGTTACTGAATTATTTTGAATTAATGTGATTAATGTACTGGGTAAGAAGTACAGCTTGAGCATCAACCCTGTTGGCTTCTTGGTAAAGTTTGTGAATGCCTGACAGCAAACCAAATGGGGTCACATAACTCCAAAACGGGCAGCCCCTTGGGTCTTAGGATCTTCGGCTGACTGTGTGGCAGAGGAGTAACAGCTAGTAGGGTACATTTTAACCAAGGGCTGAAATGGGAAACATGGAAGCTTAATTAAAGAATATGGTCCAATACATCTTTTGAGGAAAACAATACATTTTACATTTTTGTTTTAATCATCATTTTCAAGCCTTTTAAAAATCATCATTATTTTTATTTTTAGGCACTCACAAGCCCAGAGTTCTCCAAAAGTGTGTGATGTCTTCGCAGGATATCCAAATAAGGTAGCTAGGCATTCTGATTCTAAAGTGACTGTATACCCTTATCTCAGACCCATCCAAGTCCATGATCATGAAACCTGTCTGTGGCTGCTTGGCCAGACCATCCAAACATGAAACTCTTAACGGTATTTTGAAGTCTTTGAGACAAAAGCCCAGGTTGCTAAAGAACTTTGGTTTAGCAGAGAGACCGGGAGGTACAGTGAAGAGAGAATCAAAAGCCTGGAAATCTGCTGCTGAGAATCAAAGCTGGCTGCTCCCTGAGGTGGTTTGTCTGTGCACTCCACTCTCTGCAGATGTCAGACCCTCTTGTTGAGTAAGGACCCCAGGTTCTTTGGTAGCACTTTGATATCCTGCTTGAATTCAGTATGTGAAATGCAGGCGTCTCTCTCTGACTTGGAGCCCGCAGCAGGCTTTGAAGTCTGATCCAATTTTTGCTGCCTGCTATTTGATGTTGAAAGGATGAAATGAAGAAAATGTACAGTTTTTGCCAGTAACTCTGCTGAGCATATGTAAGATTAAAAAAACAAAATCCTTTGGATGATGTACTTAAAAATGTTAAGTAGATTAATACCTTCCTATAGGTTTTCTTTTTTCCTTCTTCAGGATAAAAATTAAGTATAGGAAAAAAGTCAGCACATAGCTGTTTTTATATTCTGGACTATAATTAATTTAAGAGGGGGCTAGGTTGACTTGTCCAGAGGAAGACGTAAATGAATTAAGCAAAAGGTGTCGTGAGTTTGCTACTAATTGCCCAGAGGGAGGACCTCCACTCAATTCTAATGCAAGTGGGGCCAACCCACAAATGACCCCTGTTTACTTAGCTTCTTTCCCATACGGTCAGGGTTAAGGGTCTCTGAGTTAAGTGGAAGCCTTGTCCTTAAAGCTGCTTCATCACAGGATAAAAATAATGTTTTTCTGACCGGGTCTTTCTGAGGCACTTAGTTTCTGTGATGGATTCGCTGTCTTCGCAGACATGCAGTGCTCCTGCAGACCGCCCAGGATTGAGCCCATCGAGAGAAGCCCCTGCAGATCCCGGTAAGAAGAACGTTTTGAATTGCTTGCTTGCGTACTTTTGAATGAGTTGTTGAGGCAGAACTATCTAGAAGGCAGGGCTCAAATAGTAACATGATCTAATTAATATTAGCAAAAAGTTAGGGTTCAGAAGCCAGAAAAATTGAAAGCAAAACTTATATTAAAAGTAGCAGTTTACCACTTACCCATGCCACTGAAATTTGTTTTTCTGAGGAAAGGAAATGAATATGAAAGCCCGTACTTTTGCCTTTACTTGTAAGAATCTCAAATTAGTAAACTGCTTCAACACTTAATTTTGTTAAAGGAAAGATAAACAACTACCAACTCTCAGTGAAGCAGATTGCTCAGGGCCAAAGTTAAGGGTCAAAATTCTGAGAGTAGCTTTGTCCTCTTGGCAACACTGCCGTTCCTTCCGCAAGAACGCAAGCATCCCGCTGAGCTCCCTTGGAAAATGGCTATTTCCCTTGGAAATGGCTGTTTCCTTGGAAAAGCCCGTTTTCTAAATTCTTTGCTACAGAAGACAGTAAAAGTCAGTTTTCAAGCTTATGGATGACAATAGTACTTCTGGAAGATAAAATAGAAGCATGATCATAAAATACATTTATGAACCAGAAGGTACTAAGGACAATGTAGACCATTCCAAAGAAAGAAACTTTTTCGACTTAAATATTGACATTGTACTTACTGTTGACCTCATTTATTTTTCTGAATCATGCAGTAGTTTCTCAGGTCTCAAATTTCTTCTTAGGCTGTTTTTCAGTTACAAAGTAGTAAAGCATGAAGTGGGAAATCACCGTGAATGTGTCAGGACCTTTAGTCCATATGGAACTTAAAACTTGGAGAGTCAGGAGAAGATGAGTATATTATGGCTGAAATATTTTTTTTTAGAAGTGACTCATCACATATGGTGGATTCTTTTTTTATTATTATTATTAAGGCATCATTGATATACACTCTTATGAAGGTTTCACATAAGCAACATTGTGGTTACAACATGTTCACCCATATTTTCAAGTCCCCCCACACACCCCATTTCAATCACTGTCCATCAGAGTAGTAAGATTATAGCAGAAACTTCTACATAGTTAGGCAGAAAATAATAAGCCTGTCAAAGGGAATATTTTCCTAACAGTCATAAAGGGTTCTAAATAAGGTCTTGATGAGGTAGGGGGAGGAATAATGCAAAAAAAGAGGAAGAAATAGTAAGAAAAAGACAGTCTGGTGGAGGAGAATCCATTATGCAAGAATTTGGTTGGCATTTTCTCTATCCAAACAATCTCTACTTTTTAATTGGGGTGTTTAGATGATTTTCAGTTAACATTATTGACATATTTTAGGTTAAATCTATCTTCTTGCAATTTGTTTCATATTTGTCCTATCTTTATTCTCTTTTCACATTCTACTTTAAAATCCACGTTAAAAGAAAAGCTGAAAGTATGGTTGAGTAGCCAAAGGCACAGTTTCTGGAGCCAGATGTACCTGGGTTAAAGTCTCTGCTCTCCTGTGTGGTGTTAATCAAGTTATGTAGCAACTCCTTACTTCAGTACCTACACATATAAAATGAGGGGAATAATAGTTCATAGCTGAGGAGGTGAACTGAGGATTAAATGAGCTAGTATAAGTAAAGGGCACCGCCTGGTGTCTGGTTCACAGTAAGAGTACATTATGTCAGCTATACTGTGTGTGGTAGTTATTGATATTATATAAATGCAAAGTTAATCCAAGAAAGAAAAACAGGTAGAGAAGTAAAGTTCTTCTTGTAAGACATAATGTTCTGTTGAGATAGTTTGGGGGTGTAAAAATATATTTCACTTTAAGTGAACTATTAAATAGACTTGCTGGATTGTTATCATCTTTCCCCGTCTTTAGGAAAACATTCCACAGAGTCAAACTTATTAATAAATCACACATCAGACTTGCTATAAATGGCTTAGATGTACTTCCCTGCCACAGTAGTTTCCTCCTTCCAGTCTAGTGGTTTTCTTTGGGGTCTGCCACCATCACCATTATTTCCCCTTATAATCTTGTAAACTGTATCCTAAGTGTTCTTCCTGTTTCCATTCTTTTCTTCCTTCAACTTCTTTTATGCACAGATATCTAAGGAGTTTTTCTAAAGCATACTTTAATCATAACATTCTCTTCCCCTGTACTGTTCAGTGGCTTCCCGTTGCCCCATTATCAACTCTAAGCTCTTTGCATGACATTCAAGGCTGTCTCTGTTCTGGTCTGAATCTTACTTTCTAGCTGTGTCTTCCACTGATCGCTCTCCCTCATTATGTGTTTTAGAATATCCCAGCTGTTCTCTATTCTCCAAACATGCCCAGAGAGTTCTTTCTCTCCTCTGTGACTTTGTTCCTGCTGTTCCCTCTGCCCCACCTGTCCATCCCCCTTTACCCCCAAAGTCCTCTCTATTCTTCAGAGTTTCCAGTGGCTCCCTCCTCTGTGCCCTTTGACTTTTCATATTAGTACTTATCACTTCTTGCCTGGTGTTAGTTATTTTCGTGCATCTACCTGATTTTAAGCTCTTTAGGATTATATCTTTTCATTTCTGTATTCTCTCCTTACAACCTAGCCTAGGTCCTTGAATAGAACTCTTGAGTATCCAAAGCCATGATGAAAGATAACAGAAGCATGAATTAATTGAAATTCTTGATTGAGTCAGAGAGTCACCCCCACCCCCCAGATAGGCATAGCATATCAGTGGAGCAAGACAAAATGATCCAAGCTGTTTCATTTTGTTGTTGTTTTGAGCAGAGGGAAAGAGGAAGAAGATTTAGTCAGGAAAAAGCATTATGTAAATCAAAGTCCCCTTAGCCTTAGAAAGCAGCTAAGATGGATTGAAGAACAAAGGTTTTCCAGTTTTGTATATGTTTTCAAGATCCTCAGCTACAGAAACAAGAGTATATTCTGTTACAAACATTTGAGCAAGTTATGCCTTTGTATTTAATTTTTTGCCTTAAATAACTCATTATTTTAGCCCAGGTTTCTATGGAAGGCTGGATGAGAATACCGTGATCTTTTCATTTGGAAAAAAAAGCAAAACACTAACCTCCAGTAAGTTTGCCTTCTAACTTGTAGTGGGTGCCAATTTCATTGTTCTCTGTGGGGTCTGCTGGGGTAAAGGGAGGTAGGGAATAAATCTAAAGTTACCCAATCGTGCCAGCTCTGCTCAGGGCAAGCATGCTAAGAAGTATGCAAATATGGGGTTTATATGAAATCTCTCTTCAGCTTTGTTGTCAGAGTCTCAGAAGCGTCCTTAATTGGCCCGTCTGAGCCTAACTCATTCCTCATGCAGAAGAGGAAAGCACACTACACCTGGCAAGTACATAAAATGGGTCACTTTGCCACTAATCCAAGCAGTGAAATTATTTAATTACACTGATAGGTATAGATACAGACCTTATATGATTTCACTATGTAAAAATGTATTCTTTATGCATTTGTCCTTCTATTTATCTATTAAACAAACAATTATTAACACTTACTAAGTTCCAGGAACTGTCCTGTGCCAGTACTTCTTAAATTGTTTTGAAAGACCAGTTTGAGGTTAGCTAATTTAGTTTTCGGTTAGTGCAGTCTGATACTTGCATGATATTCAATAAAAATGAATTACTAGATAAACAATCACACATGTGGATGTTGTGTCAATATCAAATTGATCTAAACTTTTCTAAATTTCTCAGTTTAGCTTAAAGTACTCTGAATTTCTTACTGAACTTGTCAGTCTGCAAATCACACATCATTAGCACTATTCTAGGCACGTGTGATTCATCAGGGAAAAACACAGTAAAAAATTCCCTTCCTCACAGTGTCATGTTCTAAAAAGGGAGATGACAATAAACAATAAGCATAATACGTAAGTCAGTTGCATGGGGTGTTAGAAGGGTAAAGTGTTTTGGGGGAGAAAATACAACAAGGGAGATGAGGTAGGAGTGGCCAGAGTGTGGCAGATGGAGCTGGGGGCCAGCTGTGCTTCTGAGTAGGTGCTCAGGGTGGGCTCCCTGAGAAGGCTTGAAGGTGGTAAGCCAGTCAGCCACGAGGATATCTAGAAGAGCATTCCAGGCAAAGGAACAACCGTGGCAGGGACCCTGAGGAGAAGGAAAGCTTGGAATACTTGAGGAGTAGAAACAAACCCACATGATGGGAACTATGGAGGCAAGGAGGAGCACAGTAGGAGGTGAGGAGCCAGCTGATGCCGTCACTACTTCCCAATGTCCTAACAGATGCTCCAGGGATCTAGTTAAAATGAAGGCTCTGGGTCAGCAGGTCTGAGTGGCTCCTGAGAGTCTGCAGTGCTAACAAGCTTCCAATTGCAGCCAGTGTCTGCTGATCGGAGGTTCCACATTTTGATTAGTGCGGGTGTAAACTCAGTGAAATGGGAAGTCACTGAGCATTTTCAGCAGAGGAATAACATGACATGAGTTATTTTAAAATGATTACTCCAGCTATGTGGTTGAGATAGACTACAGACATCATCAGTGATGCAATATCCGATGTAAGTTGCATTTTCCTGACAATTGAAACTTTGTAAAACCTGTGACTCCCCTTCGTAGTAAGTATACTGAACTCAATTCTTATTCTCAGTGTCTTGGGACACCATCATTAACTACTGTCACACAGGGCTGTAATGCAATAAGGTCCTGGGAGACCATTGTGGAATAGAACTGTCTACCCTTGCACTAAATGATCCTTGATCATTATGATTTTTAGTTAATGTACCTGAGTATTTTTACTTTCTTCTCTCTCAACATAGAGTTGATGTTTCCTGCTATTGTTAATGTGCTCACTTTTTATAACATACTTTACTTTCTCTCTTTTTCTCCTTTCCTGTGGCCTTAAAAAAAGTTCTAAACATTTTTTGTGCAGTAAAAAAAAGTTGGATCTGAGAGAGGAATCTGAGGAAATCCCCTGTGAATAAAAGGGAGGGAACTGCATATGTGGTAGGTTCCTACATGCCAGGAGCTTTCCCTATATTTTCTTAGTGTAAAATACACAAACTTTAG